GTGTGTGGAGAAGTCTACCTTACCTTACCTATTTTAGGTCAACATCGTACTAACCGTAACCCTAACCCTAACCCTAACCCTAACCCTGACCCTAACCCTAACCCTAACCCTAACCCTAACCCCTAACCCTAGGTCAACATCGTGCCCGATCATCGCAAAGAGCGACACGATGACCACCAAGGAGAAGGAGGAGTTCAAGCTCCAGGCCCGCGAGATCGCGCGAGATCGCGCGAGATCGCCCGAGATCGCCCGAGATCGCCAGAGATCGCCAGAGATCGCCAGAGATCGCCAGAGATCGCCAGAGATCGCCCGAGATCGCCAGAGATCGCCCGAGATCGCCCGAGATCGCCCGAGATCGCCCGAGACCGCCCGAGATCGCCCGAGATCGCCCGAGAGTAGGTCCGCGAGACGCTCGCGCGCGAGGGCATCGAGCCGTACGCCTTCGACCCGATCTCGCTCCGTGCGATGGAGGCGCAAGACCGGCAGGAGTACAAGCCGCCGTGGGCCGTCATCGGCTCGACCGACGCGCACCTGGACGCGGGCGTGTCGGTGTACCTGCGAAAGTACCCGTGGGGGAACGCGCTCTCGTCCGAGCCGTCGCACTCGGACCTGCCCGCGCTGCGGAACCTCGTCATGTGGTCGGGACAGTGGCAGGCGCATCCCCTACCCCCACGGTACCCGAACCCCCCGCCCAACGGTACCCGAATCCACCCTCCATTCCCCACGGTACCCGAACCCACCCTCCCCTATCCCCACGGCACCCGAACCCTCCCCTACCCCACGGCACCCGAACCCTCCCCTACCCCACGGCACCCGAACCCTCCCCTACCCCACGGTACCCGAACCCGCAGGAGCTCAAGCACGCCTCGCGTATGAAGTACGAGAACTGGCGCGTCTCCCGCTCCCTCGCCACCCGCTCCTCCTTCGCCGCCACCGCCGCCGCCGCGACCGTCGCCGCCACCGCCCGCCGCGGCGTCGCCGCCGCCCAGCGCGCCGCAGCCGCGGGCTGCTCCGCCGTCGGCGTCGCCCCTCGCACCGCGCTGCGCCTGCTGGCGCTGCTGGCGCTGCTGCTGACTCCGCTGGTCGGTCCGGCGGCCCACGCGTGGTGCTTTTCCTCTGACCCCTCGGCGGCGCGCGAGGCCAAGCTGATGCGCGGCCTCGTCGACCGGCTGGCGGCGGAGAAGGGGCAGGCCCTGCACGCGTACGAGCGGCGCGTCGCCTCCCTCTCGGGCGAGCTGCAGGCGGCGCGAGCATTGGGCGAGGAGTACGCCGGCCGAGAGAGCGCCATTGCCAAGGAGCGCGACGCGCTGCTCCGGCAGCTGCGCGCGTCCAAGGACCGGCAGAGCGACCTCGAGGCCGAGGTTGGCCGCGTGGACGCCGAGCGCGCGCTGGCCGAGGAGCGCGCGCACGCGGCCACGGCTGCGGCCGGTAATAATAATAGTATTAGTAGTAATAGTAATAGTAGTAATAGTAATAGTAAAAATAATAGTAATAATAGTAGTAGTAATAGTAGTAGTAATAATAATAATAATAATAATAATAACAATAATAGGCGGGCGCTGCTGGAGCGACTCCGCGTCGGAGCACGTTTTGACGGGTGTTCGCTCGATCCTCGGCTCGACGGACCGCGCGCTACACAAGGCCGGCCGCGCCACCGCCGCCGCGTCCGTCTCGCTGCGTGACGCGGCGACCGACGCGGCGCGGGAGGTTGCAAAGGAGCTGCCGCTCGCGGGCCGGCGCGCGGCGATCGCCGCCGGCCGGGTGCTCGAGGAGTTCAAGGCGACGTCGCTGCTGCAGCCGGTCGGCTGAGAGGGCGGCGTGGGGCCGCCCCCTCCGCGCGACGGCGGCGGCGCATTCCGCTCCCCACGCCGACGGTGCATGTGACGGTGCGTGTGAGGTGCGCCCCAGCCTCCCGCTGTTCACAGCTGCAGCTGTGAACAGCGTCTCTTCACACCTGCAGCTGTGAGAGGCGCCCCGCGCTCACCGCGTCGCACCTCACCGCCCCCGCTTTTTCTCCTTCCCCGGTTTCTCCCCTGCCTTCTTCCTCTCCTGCTTTCCTCTCCTGCCACTTCTCCCCCTGT